TTTTTGATTTTAGCCATTCTGACAGGAGTAAGATGCTATCTCAGAGTTCTTTTGATTTTCATTTCCCTGATGGCTAAGGATGTTGAACACTTTCTTATGTGTCTTTCAGCCATTTTAGATTCCTCTATTGAGAATTGTCTATTTAGTTCTGTACCCCATTTTTTAATTGGATTGTTTGGTGTTTTGGAGAATAGCTTCTTGAGTTCTTTGTATATTTTGGAGATCGGCCCTCTGTCAGATGTGGGGTTGGTGAATATCTTTTTCCAGTCTGTGGGCTGCCGTTTTGTCTTGCTGACAGTGTTCTTTGCCTTACAGAAGCTTCTCAGTTTCAGGAGGTCCCATTTATAATTGCTGATCTTAGTGTCTGTGCTACTGGTGTTATGTTCAGGAATTGGTCTCTTGTACCGATTAATTCAAGGGTATTTCCCACTTTATCTTCTAATAGGTTCTGTGTGGCTGGGGTTATGTTGAGCTCTTTGATCCATTTTGACTTAAGTTTTATGCAGGGCAAAAGGCTTGGGTCTATCTATAGTCTTCTACATGTTTGCATCCAGTTCATCCACTATAGACACCAGAGCTGAGAGTTCTTAAGTCTTGACTCACAGGCAATAGGAAGTGGTCTGACTCACTGGGTGTGGCTTGAGCATATATGAGACCTCAAAGCTGGCCTCCACAGTGACACACTTTCTCCAACAAAGCCACACCACCTAATAGTGCCATTCCCTGTGAGCTTATGGGGGCCAGTTACATTCAAACTATCACATACATGATGTGGGGAATTTCTTTTCTGGTCCAGTTTATTTGATGTTTTATATTCTTCTTGTGCCTTGGTAGGCACTTTCTTTAGTACCTTTAGTTTGGGGAAATTTTCTTGTATGATTTTCTTGAAAATATTTTCTGTGTTTTTGATCTGGGTTGCTTCTCCTTCCTGTATTCCTGTTTTTGTAGATTGGTCTGAGGGAGAGAGCTAAGGGGACACACCAAGAGTCCCCAGGGAGTTGGAAGTACATAGAGGAGGAGCTCCTGTAAGTGAGAGTAGGACAAAGACTATGGCTGGAGAGACAGGGATGAAATGGCTGGGTGAATGGAGTCAGGTGGGAGGAGGGGCACCTGCAAGCCATTGCTCCAGGGTTGAGACAGGACAGCTAGTAATGGAGGGTAGTGAAAATCTCCTACTGAGTCCCAGCCAGGTGTGATATAAAAACGCTGATATAAAAAGTGTTTCTAGGTGTTGGTGGCTAACACAAAGGAATGGGGATGAGCTAGAAGGCCAAGAGGAGCCCCTGGAAGGAGCAAAGCTGAGTCTGCACTAAGGTTAGGTGGACTCTCCAGCCTCGTAGTAATGGAGGGAAAAAAAAAATTCCCGGGTCTTTCACCGCCTCATCTTTACCCCTTCTTCCTAGGTTCTGTCCAGGGTGAGGCACAGGCTCTAATGCTGAAGGGGAAGGCACTGAATGTGACTCCTGAGTATAGCCCAGAGGCTGAGGTGCTTCTGTCAAAGGCTGTGAAGCTGGAGCCTGAGCTGGTGGAAGCCTGGAACCAGCTGGGTGAGGTGTACTGGAAGAAAGGGGACGTTGCTGCTGCCCACACCTGCTTCTCAGGAGCTCTCACCCACGTGAGCTGCCCATCCCCCAACAGTTGGGAAGTCATGGGTGCCTTTGGTTCTTTGAATTTCTCCACGAGAAGAATACCAGATCCGAAATGAATCTGCTCAAGGAGGATAGAATTGGAAGGGAGGAAGGGTTGGGGGAGGGGAAACCTGGAATAGGAACAGAGAGGCCTGAGAAAGGAAAAAGGATGGGATTGGGTTTGGCCTAGGTGAGAAGAAATAGCATCCAGAATTATCCATAGGCTTTGGAGATGCAGTCAGTGGCTGGGATTAAGACATAAAAGTGGAACTAGTTGAATGCTGAGCTCAGCGGGGATCTGGAAATGGGGTAGAATCAGGAAAGTTGAATGTGTATCTTCTCCATTTTCAGTGCAAAAACAAAGTCTCCCTGCAAAACTTGTCAATGGTGCTTCGCCAGCTGCAGACCGACTCCGGAGATGAGCATTCTCGCCATGTCATGGACAGTGTCCGACAGGCTAAGTTGGCCGTGCAGATGGATGTCCTTGATGGCCGCTCCTGGTGTGAGTGTTAGGAAAAGATGTATGATAGTGGCTCTCAGCCATGGCTGCATATTAGAATCATCAGGAGGCCAGCTGTGGACTCTGACTCTGAGGTCATCTTTCTTTAAAAGAAACACTAAACTTCTTTTTTTTCTTTTTGGAATTGTGAATGTGGGTGTGCACATGCCTGTGCACATGTGGAGGCCAGCAGATGCTGTTACATCCCTCGGTGGCATTGCCAATGTGGTTGGTTGCCTGGCTTATTACATGGGTGCCGGGATCCAACCTCTGGCCCTTGCGATTCTGCAGCAAGCACTCTTAAATGCTGAGATGACCTTCAGCCCCTCTAAACTTATTTTGATGAGCTACTATTGGAACTCTTGTATCTCTTGATCTAAGATGGCAGACTTAGGTTTCCCTTTAAGCAATGCAGTAAGTCCTTGTTTACCTTCTATTGCTGTGATAAACATCGTGACCAAAAGCAACTTGGAGAGGAAAGGATTGATTTCAGCATATAGCTTGTCACCGTTCACTGTGAAGGGAGATCAGAACAGGAACTCAAGGCAGGAACCCAGAAACAGGAATTGAAGCAGGAAGGCCACTTACTGGTTTGCTTTCCAGGCTCACATTTAACCTCCTCTCTTTCTCTCTTAAAGATTTTATTTATTATGTATACAACATTCTGCTTCATGTATATCTGCACACCAGAAGAGGGCACCAGATCTCATAATGGATGCTTGTGAGCCACCATGTGGTTGCTGGGAATTGAACTCAGGACCTCTGGAAGAGCAGCCAGTGCTCTTAACCTCTGAGCCATCTCTCCAGCCCTAACCTGCTTTCTTATATAGCTCAGGACCACCTGTCCAGGTGTGGTGCTGCCCACAGTGGGTTGGGCCCTTCCCCAACAGTCATTAATCAAAAAAATGGCTCTTGGACATAGCTGCAGTCCAAATTGATGGAGACATCTTATCAATTGATTCTCCTTCTTCTCAGATGACTCTAGCTTATGCCAAGTGACCTCCCCCCATAACCCCCACAACATAAACACCCCTCCCCTAAATCTAGCACACAGGGCTTTTGTCACATCTGTTTCGAGTCCATGCTTTTCTGTTATCTTGGTAGAATTTTAACTAGTCAACACAGTGTAATGCCTGGTTTGGGTAAGAAGTCAGGCTTTTCAGAAATGTACTTCTGAGTCTCAGTGCTCAGGAGGTAGAGGCAGGTGGATCTTTGTTAGTTTGAGGCCAGCCAGCGCTACATTGATGAGATCCTGTCTTAGGAAGGAAAAAAAAAAGGCTGGAGAGATCATTCAATGGTTAAGAGCGCTGGTTGCTCTTCCAAAGGCTCCAGGTTCAATCCCAGCACCCACATTGCAACTCACAACTATCTAAACTCCGTTTCCACAGGATCTGATGCTCTCTTCTGACCTCCACAGGCATTGCATGGTGTGGTCCATTGATATACATGCAGGCAAAACATACCTGTAAAATAAAAATTAAGTGATTTTGCTTTTCTAAAGAAAATTCTGGAAACACAAAACTTGCCTTCTTTTTTGTAGCAGGGTTTATAAGACCCCAACCCGTCCCTGAGGATGGATAGGTAGTCAGTGGTTGTTGGAGGAGGGAGAGACATTTTCTTCTTTGTTGTGACCACTAGTCAGGTGCCCATGCTCCATTGGGTTAAAATAAACAGAAAGACAGAAGTAGAAGAGACATTGGTTGGAAGAAGGGGATCAGTGGACGCGGAAGGGGGACAAGAGAGGGATAATGGAGGGCACGCATACAATCAGAATACATTCTGTGCATGTATGGAAATGTCATAGTGAAACTCGTTATTGTATACAATAATATATGCTAATAAACACTTTAAACATACAGACTTCCGAGAGCTGCTGGTCGTATCTTGGACTGGGCTCTGAGATGGCCCACTGCTGTTGCTCTTGCAGATATCCTGGGGAATGCATATCTTTCTCTATATTTCAATACTGGCCAGAACCCTAAGATCTCCCAGCAAGCCCTCAGTGCCTATGCTCAAGCAGTAAGTACTTGCGGTCACCCCGGGCGGATATAGAGGCAGGGACCGAATCAGGAGCATGTTGTCCTTCCCAGGCTCCTTCAGCAAGTAGTGCTGGCAGAGCTTGCTAGCAGCTCACGTGTCTACATGGGTAACTTTTTACAAGATGTTAAGGGATGGTGCCTTGGTGACAGATTACTCCTTGAGTTGCCTAAATTTCTTACAGACATGCATGATGAAATCATGGAGCCTCTTCTGGCATGTTCATCCCCTTTTAGTAGGTCAAAAACCTTAGTAAAATAATAGTAACATAATTTTAAAGACAAGGGAAGCTCTGAAAATTAAGAAGCAGTTCCAAGGTAAATTGCAGGACATGGTTCTGGGTCTTCTTCCTAGGTGGCCTTAACAGGCACTGTTTGCAGGGAGTAGTCACACAGGGGAGCCCGCACTTCACTCTGTGTTCCAAGCCCTGTGTATATTGACACTCGCTTGGGGGTTGGGTTCCTCGAGCTTTGAGTGCCTGTCTCTTCACTGTTAGAAGGCTCACACTTACTTTCTGAATGCTGTTTATGTAGCCTTCGTATTTGTCGTCTCTATTGTTTTCATTCAGGTTTCCTTGACACAGTCACTTGCTGTTTAGCTCACTGAGCCTTCTGGAAGCAGCTGTTGTGTGGTCATACTTGTGCTTCAGAGACTGTCCATAAGGCAGAGGGATTGTATTTTACCCCAAACTATGTATGTTTTTGTTTTATAAATGGGGTCTCACTATGAAATCCAGACTGGCCTCAAACTTGAGATCCTTCATCCCTGCCTCCTAAGAGCTGGTGTTATAGACATGCCTGCCTTTTATGTGACTTTAAAATTTTGTGAATATTTACATTTTCAAGAATATGCCTTCAAAATTCTATATTTGTCCTCAGCCACATAGGTTTTTTTTTTTTTTTTTTTTTTTTTTTTTTTTTTTTTTTCTCTAGATGGTTTTTCTCTGTATAGCCCTGGCTTTATAAACCAGGTTGGCCTCAAACTCACAGGACCACCTGCCTCTGCCTCTCAAGTGCTGGGATTAAAGGTGTGCACCACCACCACCTGGCACATAGTTTTTTTTTTTTTTTAAAGATTTTATTTATTTATTATGTATACAGTCTTCTGCCTGCATGCAGGCAGAGGGCACCAGATCTCATTCAAGGCGGTTGTGAGCCACCATGTGGTTGCTGGGAATTGAACTCAGGACCTCTGGAAGAACAGTCAGTGCTCTTAACCGCTGAGCCATCTCTCAAGCCCCCCACATAGTTGTTTTTAACTCTTAATTTTCCCTTCTGTATTTAAAACATCTTTGAAATAGCTGCTTAAATAATCTTAGTTCGTGCTACTTATGCTTATGCTATGCCCAGGCATTAGACATGATTAAAAACATCAGCACTGCGGGTTTTCCCCAGCACATTTCTCTTCAGTGTCTTATGGCTTTGCCCATCCTTTTAGAGTCAGAATGTGATTTACTGTGTATAAAGGAGCTTGATTCAGAACCCTGCCTTTGCCTTTGCCTCCATGTAGAGCCAGGCTTATGGCAGAAGAGCTGGGTTAATTCACCATTTCTGCTTTAGGCTTTCCTCGTTTGTATCTGTGCCATGACTTAATTAAAAAAAAATTAGATTTTTTTTCATATTTTTATGTTTTCGCTATTTCTGTGATACGGTATGGGTTAACTATGTTTTAAAGTTCCACACATGCAATCAGCTTTATATCTTTGCGGCTTCAGAGACAGAGTGATGTTCCATATACTTAGTTACAGCAGCATGGGTAGAGATAGCATTTAGGCAAGGAAGAATCTCAAGTTTTTTTTTAAGGCGATGAAATCTGGGACATGCTGAACTTGGGCATCCTTAAAATCGAGTCACGCTCTTTCTATTCATGATCTTTTTATGCCACTGTAGGAGAAGGTCGACAGGAAAGCGTCCAGCAATCCCGACCTTCATCTGAACAGGGCGACGGTAAGACCATGGGTGGCGCTCATCTGAAGGTAAAATAGACAGGACATACAGGGGCTAGAGATGGCCTAGAGGCTCAAAGCACTGGCTGCTCTGGCAGAGACCTGGGTTTGGCTCCCAGCACCCATGTGACTATAACTTCAATTCTGGGGGACCTGATGCTCTCTTCTGACCTCTGAGTGTACTGCATTCCTGTGGTGCATATACACACATACAGGCAAAAACACTTATAAAATAAAATGTCTTAAAAAAAAAAAAAGAGAGACGAGCCTTAGCTTCTGAGGGTAACTGAGTTACACAGGGCAAAGCTGGACACAGGCCATGAGAGGTAAGCCTGAGTCTCCGTAGGAAGAGCTAGCTGAGTCTGACCTCAGCCTGGAAGAGTCACTGATGGAAGGGAGACCCTGAGGCAGGGGAGAGGTCATGGCGATTGGGGGGATGGCTTAGGAGACTTCTGCTTTCAAGTATGACTAGAATAACAGTTACCCAATGTGCTTCACAGCTTCAGAGTTTGGGAGTTAGCTCCTTGGAAATGAATTTGTCTTTGTCCTTTCTTCCGTTTGGCCCAGAAGACAGGTCCCTAATGTAGGACAGGAACAGGACTTAGGGGAAATACAGTTTTCTCTAGATTCTTAGTCTGCCTATCCTGATAATCTGGGTTACTTTCCTACAGTTACATAAATATGAAGAGAGTTATGGGGAGGCCCTAGAGGGTTTCTCTCAGGCAGCCGCACTGGACCCTGCATGGCCAGAGCCCCGGCAACGAGAACAACAACTCCTGGAATTCCTCACTAGGCTAACCAGCCTTCTGGAGAGCAAGGTAAAGATCTGTAAGTGCTGAGCCATCAGTCAAATACAAAAAGAATAGGTTTAGGCGGCAGTGGGCAGGTGGGCAGGGTGAGAGAAATAATTGACTCAGTATACCAGCTTCCAGTTGATCTGTTTCTCCTTCTTTTGCAGGGGAAGACAAAACCCAAAAAACTCCAGAGTATGCTGGGAAGCTTGCGTCCAGCCCATCTGGGCCCCTGTGGTGATGGGCGCTATCAGTCAGCCTCTGGGCAGAAGGTGACCTTGGAGCGCAAGCCACTGAGCACACTGCAGCCTGGTGTGAACAGTGGTACTGTGGTCCTGGGAAAGGTGGTGTTCAGCCTGACCTCAGAGGAGAAAGTCCCCTTGTAAGTTTCACTTCCATCTCCCCATGAATGACTGTCACTTCCTGGCCTTTTCAGGCCAGTAAAGACATTTTACAAATTATCGACTTTTACTGCTTAGGGTACCTGCTCCATGTGCAAGCCTTGTCTAAGAGATACCTAAGAATCTCTTTAATTTTTTTTTTAAAACAGAAATACAGTTCTGTTATACTTATTTATTTTATGTGTGTGTGTGACAGCGCACCTGTGCCACAGCCTTCATGTGGCGGTCAGAGAAAAACTTGTAGGAGTTTTTCCAGCATGTGGGTCCCAGTATCAAACTTCGTCCGCCAGGGTTGGCAGCAAGTGCTTTAACCAGATGAGCTGTCTTGCTGGCCTCTAACAGTCTTACCATAGAGGCATTTGTGGGTTCTGCCATTGCCTATTGTTGTCCCCTCAGTTCTTTGCTTTGTGAATTCCTGAATTCATATCTGAAATGACAGGTCATTTCAAAAAATGTGTTTGAGTGTTTGTATGCATGTCTGTGTGCTGTCTGTGAAGTTCAGAAGGTGTCAGAGTCCTTGAAACTGCAGTTAGGAATGGTTTAAGCCACCATGTAGATCCTGGGAACTGAACTTGGGTCCTCTGCAAGCTTGGGTCCTAAGCAAGTAGTCTTAATTGGCGAGTCATCTGTCCAGCCCCCTTGACAGGTCATTTTAAAAGTAAGACAGAGAAACTTTAAAATTCTTCATCTTTTTTGAGGTTCAGGGTCACAGAGTTGAAGAAAGACAAATTTAGGTTCTGTTTCTAGATGATTCTGGAAGGTGAGCTTTGGGTTAGAGTAGAGGCCTGATTGGGATCTTACCTGAGTTTCTTACTTCTGCTTTTGGGCTGTTTTTCTTTAACTTGTTTTCTGAATTATTGTTACTTAGTTTGTCCTGTGTGGCAGAACAAAACCAGCTTTGTCTACTTATATCTGTAGTTCAAGAATTATCTTTTCAGGCAGGGAGCTTTTTGAGCAGAGGGATTATACTTTTATCATTTATTGATTTGGGTTTTTGGCATGTGTGTTTAGGGAGTAAGGAAAAAAATGTAAAGGACACATGTAAAGCATGCTTACCATCCTGCAAAGGAGTGAGTTAGCCTATTAGGGAAAATGTAAAGACATTTATAGCTTATGTTATTCACAAGTGTGGGTATGCACATGCCATGGAGCATGTGTGGAAGTGAAAGCGAATCCAGGGAGTTGGTTCTCCCTTCCACCGTGTGCTTCCTGGGGCTTGAATTCAGGTAGTCAGCCTCAGTGGCAGCTGAACCATCTTCCCAGCCCAGAGAAATTGTTTACATCTTGAAAACTGAGGATTTAATGAGTACTATACCTGCTTGGTCCTTCATACATTTCTTGGTCCCTGGTTGAGTTTCTTCTTTTCTACTGCAGTGGTTTGTTTATTTGGGCTAGCCCCAGCCCTGAGGTACCCCCACTCCCCACCTTCTGAGTGATGGGCCACAGGCTTGTAATCTGTGTGAAGTGGACTACCACTGTCTCCATGCTCCTGCTATATGGCTCTGTGGCATCCTCACCTCTCTTCTTCCGTTTGGAGGCAGGTGTCTGTCTCTGTGCAGCCATGGCTGGCTTGGCACTCACTATGTAGAGGTCAAGGCTGGCCTTGACCTCACAGAGATCCACCTTCTCTGCCTCTCAAGTGCTGGATGTGCACTGGCATGCTGGACCTCTCTTCTTTTTTAAGCTAACCCCTCTTTTTTTACTCATTATTATGTGTGTACACATGATCATGCGTGCACATGTACCATGGCTTGCATGTGGAGGTCAGAGTACAACTTTTTGGAGTTGGTATTTGTGTGACAGATTTTTGTTTTTCCTTGCAAGACACAGCATATGTCTACTTACACCAGAAAGGGAGCCCAGGACAGACCAAAATAATGATTGCACCAATGTCCAATTTGGTGAGCCAATGAGTTTTTGTTTGTTTGTTTTGCATTTACAAACAGGAGTATAGGTGGAGGGTTATTTGCAAGGTGCAAGCATGATTCTGAAGCATCTGCATCACCAGAAGGCCCACTCCAGCATAGGTGGTGACTCCTGAAAACTGCAAGCTGCAACCCTGGTGCTGTCTCTGCAGCAGCATGCATTCAGAATCTCTCTCTTTCTGAAGTTTGCTTGGCCCACCCCCAGCAGCTGTTCACCCCCAGCAGCTGTTCATTCCCTTTCACATTACTGGCAGTGGCCCTCCAGAATCTTCCACTTGTTACATTCTCCTGCACTTGTGACATTTTGAGGCTGGTGAGCCTTCCTGGAGTACATGTTTCAGTTAGGAGGGAACGCTGCGGTTGGGAAGTACATGCCAGAGGTGCACGCTAGTTCTCTATACTGCCCATGTTCCGAATCTGATCCCAGACAATAAGCACCTTTACATGTAGAGTCATCTTGCTGGCCTTTTGGCTTATTTGTTCATTAAAACATTTTTTAAGATTTATTTTGTGTGTATGAGTATTTTGCCTTCATGTATGTATGTATACTATGTGTGTGCTTAGTGCTCTCAGAGGTCAGAAGAGGACATCAGATCTGGACTTAGAGTTTCTGATGGTTGTGACCTAGCATGTTAGTGCTGGGAACTGAACTCAGATCTTCTGCAAGAGCCACAATTGCTCTTTACTCCTGAGCTATCTCTCCAGCTCTCCACATTTGTCTCTTCTCTTCTCTTCTCTTCTCTCTTCTCTCTTCTCTTCTCTTCTCTTCTCTTCCCTTCCCTTCCCTTCCCTTCCCTTCCCTTCCCTTCCCTTTTCCCTTCTTTCCTGTCCCCTCCCCTCCCATTCCTTCCCCTTCTCTCTTCTCACTTCCCCCTTTTTTTCTGTTTGTTTTTGAGACAGGATCTTACTATGTATACTTGGCATCCTGGAACTGACTGGGATCCTCCTGTGTCTGCCTCCTGAGTGCCAGGATCAAAGGTGCATGCCATCAGCCCTGGCACTTTGAGACAGGCCCTCTTACTGAATCTGGAGCTCATGTGCAGAATAACTCTAGAAGGCCAGCAAGTCCCTGTGACCCTCTTCCCTTCTACTCCCCAGTGGTAGGATCACAGCTTTTTTTATGGAAGTGGTAAGGGTCTGAATTCAGGTCTTCATCCTTGTGTGGTAAGCTCTGTATCAGCTGAGTTATCTTACCAGTTTTCCTGCCTTGTTTGCATATGTCTCTCTGTGTTTATTTCTTTGCAAGTATTGTGTGTGTATGTGTGTGTGTGTGTGTGTGTGTGTGTGTGTGTGTGTGTGTGTGTATGTATGTGTGCACACAAGGCACTCTAGAGAATGTTTGTGTGTATGTGTGCACGTGTGTAGAGGTTGACGGTAAAAGTCTTCCTCAGTTACTCTCTACCTTGTTCACTGAGACAGGGTTTTTCAGTTGAACTCTTGAGCTGGCTGATGTAGCTAGTCTAGCTGGTCAGCTTGTTCCGTCTCCGCCTTCCTGGCCTGGAATTTCAGGTGGGCAATGTAGAACTCACTTTTATGTGATTCTGAGGCTCTGAATTCTAGTCCTCATGTTGTTGCAGCAATCACTGAACTACCCCCCAGCACCACCCAATTTTTTTTAGACAGAGTCTAACTGGCCTTCATTTGGGATCCTACTGCCTTTTACTTGCCAATGCTGGGTTTAGCTTTCCTGTTTTAACTACCTGGTTTTCCCTATTTTCTCTCCCTGTTTTTCCCCTTTGCTTTTTGGAATGGGTTTTTACTGCATAGTCCAGGTTGATTGTAAATTCTATATATTTCAAGCTGGCCTTGAACTTGGGGTCTTCTTAGCTGAGCTGTATGTGTGCCAGAATTGCAGGTATGTCCCAGCAAGCAAACATCCTCCCACTGAGCTACTCCCCACTCAAGTGGTGGTGTTTTTATCTGATTCTTGTTAGATTATGGGTCATTTATAGCTGGATTAGTATCTTACTGCTAACAATGCTTGATATGTTTGCGGAATCAACCTCAATTGATAGTGATTGTAGAGGGTTTGGTTAAGTGTATGTTAGTTAAATTGATAGGCCAGGAATAACGGTCTAGCTGCAGTATTTTGGGTTAGTTCATTATTAACATTTATTGAATGACCTCACTGTGTGTCCCAAGTTCTTAGTAGAGTGAGCCTTGTTAATGTTTGCTAAAGGTATAAAGCCTAAGATAAATGAGCATTCAAATGTATATAGTAGATAATAGCACTTGTAGATTTCTAAGGAAGGGACCAAGAATGCATTCCTTATTTTGCTATATTTTAAAACCCATTCTAACTTTCCTGCCCATAACCCTTTGATATTTTTTTTCTCTCTTTCTCTAACCCACATTAACCTGGAAGCACATTTGGCTTGGTAGATTCCGATGGTCCTTGCTATGCAGTGATGGTGTACAATGTAGTGCAGAGCTGGGGCGTGCTCATTGGGGACTCTGTCGCTATTCCTGAGCCCAACTTTAGGCATCACCACATTCGGCACAAGGGAAAGGTAAGTAGTGTCCAGGAGTCATCTTTGTGACACACAGTCTCTGCAAATGGTACCAGGCTTCTCTCTTTAAAACATAGAGGTGAAAGTAATGCATGTGTATGTGCTTTTGTGTGTATGTACTGTAAATACATGTGTGTGATATGTGTATTCAGTGTATATACATGTGTGTGATATGTGTATGCTCTATATATCCATGTGTGTGATGTGTATGCTTTGGTGTGTATGTATGGTATATACATGTGTGTGATATGTGTATGCTCTTGTGTGTATGTACTGTATATACATGTGTGTGATATGTGTATGCTTTTGTGTGTATGCACTGTGTATACATGTGTGTGATGTGTATATGCTCTTGTGTGTATGTACGGTATATACATGTGTGTGATATGTGTATGCTTTTGTGTGGTGTTTGCATTGTGTATACATGTGTGTGATGTGTATATGCTCTTGTGTGTATGTACTGTGTATGCATGTGTGTGATGTGTATGCTTTTGTGTGTATGCACTGTATATACATGTGTGTGATATGTGTATGCTCTTGTGTGTCTGTACTGTGTATACATGTGTGTGATAATGTATATGCACTGTATATACATGTGTGTGATGTGTATGCTTTTGTGTGTCTGTACTGTGTATACATGTGTGTGATATGTGTATACTTGTGTGTGTATATACTTGTCTTATATAATTGTAGACAATTTATTGCACAAAAATGCCATGACCAAAAGCAGTTTGAGGAGGAAAGGGTTTATTTTGTCTTATACTTCTGCATCACAGTCCTTTAGCAAAAGGAAACTGGGGCAGGAACTGGAATTAGAAACCTAGAGGCAGGAACTGATGCAGAGACTGTGGAAGAACACTTGTTTCCTGGCTTGCTAAGCCTGCTTTTTTATAGCACCCAGGACCACCAGCCCAGGGATGGCCCCACCCATGGTGAATAAGGTCCTCCCCCAGTGAATAGGACCCTCCCCTATCAATTATTATTAATCAAGAAAATGCACAGGCTTACCCACATGTCAATATGATTGGAGCATTTTCTCAAGGTTCCCTCTTCCCTAATGACTTTAATTTGTGCCAAGATGACATAAAAACTAACCAGCATACTGCTATATCCACATGTGTAATATGTGTGCTTTTATGTATATGTATTATACATATCTATGTTTGTACGTATATATTAAATATGTCTGCTGAGCACATTGTTGTTAATTTATTATATACACATGTGATATATCTGCTTTTGTGTATATTATATACAAATGAGTGATGTGTGTATGTTTTTGTATGTATGCATCATATTTGTGTGTGTGCTTTTGTGTGTATTGTATACACATGTGTGATATATAGTTGTGTTAATGTATTATATACATGTGTGTGATGTGTGTGTACTTTTGTGTATATGTATTATATCCACATGTATGTTATATATGTTTTGGTGTGTATGCATCATATATGCATGTGTGCCATATATACTTTTGCATGTATTATTTAGATATGTGTGATATGTGTGTTCTTTTCTGTATGTTATTTACATGTGTATGATATGTGTGTGCTATTGTGTCTATATTTACACATATGTGTGCTTTCATGTGTATTATATACTTGCATGCTTGCATGTGTAATATACATATATAGGTATTTACATGCATAAATATGCAAATTTATATATAAGCGTAAATTTCTTTGCACATATAAGTATGTAAATATATTATACATAGGTATATCTATATTTTATTGCAAAGGAAAACTACTGATAAGCAAAAATAAAGAATGGGCTAAACTATCTCTTAGATATTCTAGTGATAACTAGATAACACATCTCAGTCTATTAGGTTTATTTATTTATTTTTGTTTTTTGGGAGAGGTATGTAGCCATATTCCTTTGTTTTGTTTTGTTTTTTTCGAGACAGGGTTTCTCTGTGGCTTTGGAGGCTGTCCTGGAACTAGCTCTTGTAGACCAGGCTGGTCTCGAACTCACAGAGATCCTCTGCCTCTGCCTCCTGAGTGCTGGGATTAAAGGCGTGTGCCATATTCTTACTATTTAGGTCGGGGCAGCAACCTATCGTACACTGACCATATCTAGTTCAATATCTGTTGTATAGCCTACAAGCTAAGAATTATTTCTGTGTGTAAAACATAAAAAGAAATTAATTTGTGTGTGTGTGTGTGTGTGTGTGCATGCACAGATGTGCATGCCATGGTATGAGTGGAGGAGGTCAGGGACAGCTTCTGAGAGTTGGTTCTTTCCTTCTAACATGTGCTTCTAGGGATTGAATTTAGGTTATCAGGGTTGCATAGCAAGTGCTTTCAACTGTTGAGCCATCTTGCCAGCCTTGCAATTTATATATATTTTATACATATATTATTATGTTTTAATGTGGATGGGTGTTTTGCCTGCATGTATTTATGTTCACCATGTGTGTGCCTGGTATCCTTGGATGCCAGAAAAGGGCATCGGATCCCCTGGAACTGGAGTTATATATAGACAGTTGTGAGCTGCCAGATGTTGGTGCTGGGAACTAAACCTGGTTGCTCTGGAAGAGCACTGCAAGCTGTTAACTGCTAATCCAGCTCTTCAGCCCCTACAATTTTTCTAACACTGAAACCAAATTTTTCACAAATTGCTCGGAAGATAATAATACCAATAATATATTTTTTGTTTTTTTTAAAAATGTATTTCATTACGTTTATTAATAATGTTTTGCATATGAATTGCTTTCTGTTCTCCCCGTACTTCCCATATTCTTGTTGGGAACTTTATTTAAAAAAAAAAAAAAAAAAAAAGACTTGTGAGAATTTTACTGTGGCTTAAAAGATTCTGTTTCAGGCTGAAGAGATGACTCAGAAGAGCACTGTCTACTCTTACAGAGGTCCTGAGTTCCCAGCAACCACATGGTGTCTTACAACCATCTGTAATAAGATCTGTGTCTCTCTGCTGGCATGCAGGCATACATGTAGGCAGAACATTGCATACATAATAAATAAATAAATCTTAAAAAAAAAAAAAAAAGAGAGAGAGCCTGTTTCACATTGCCAATCAAACATTTCCTGGGTGGTGCTCTTCCAGTAGCCCAAACAGCCCAGCATCCTGAGCTGGGAAGATGAGCTGGTACCTTTTCTGTTATTAAGGCAATGCTTAAATTCCTTTACATAGTCTGTTCTCATTAACATAAAAAGAAGTATTTGACAGGTTAATTTTGAGCTCTACACACAGACTAGCAAATTTCCTTGGTTCTGGCCCGTTGCTGTCTGTCTGTTTCCAGAGACTGTGGAGAAGCACAGATTCTCTGAGAGCTGGTGGCTCCCTTTTCTCAGGCAGTGCAACAATTTGCTTTTCTTGAATGGGAGAACTGTCATATTCTTGTAATTGTATTGTATTGTTGGTGCCTTGTCTGTCTCAGAAACTGTCTCCTTTGTTCAGTTTTATCTAAGGTAAGATAGAGGGAAGGGGTAGGTGGACTACGTTGCTTTGCTGGAGTTTTTTCTGACCTTGATTTCTAATGAATTGATCTGTCTTTTCTAGGACTATTCCTTCTCCAGTGTTCGGGTGGAAACGCCTCTCCTGCTGGTGGTGAATGGAAAGCCACAGAACTCTAGCAGCCAAGCCACTGCCACCGTGGCTTCGAGACCGCAGTGTGAATGACCTTGTAGGGGGAGTGGAGGCCCAGAGATAAGCTCACCTGGGTGTCGTGAATGGAGACTTGTCTTCCTCTGCCCTGTAACATAGTTCGAGCCTCCTTTCTTTTCCTGTGGTATTCCAGCCCCCTTCAAAGCCGTCACTACCCCTGTTCATCTCCCCTGCCTCTTCAATGACTTAAAGGAAGAACAAAGCACTAATGGAACTGTTGGGACCCTGTTATGGGAGACTTTTCCCCATCTTGAGATGTTTTGACAGTTCCCAAGATCCCCGTTCTTGCCTTCTTCCTGAGTCTAATATGTATGTATATATCTGTTTACTATTTATTGCTGAGGGGCTTAACTTTTCTATGGCTTCATTTTTGAGAATTTTTAAAAAAATTTTTTAGATTTAAGTTCTGATAGGTGTGGTGGCACACCTTTAATCCCAACACTTAGGAGGTAGAGGAAGGTAGGTCTCTATGATCGAGTCTAGCCTGATCCTATATAGGGAGTTCCAGGCTAGCCAGGACAACATTAGTGAGACCCTGTGTCAAAAAAAGAAAAAAAAAGTTTTTCCCTCCCTTAGGGTTGGAACAAAATTAAATTTGTTTGGAAAAAATTTACCCTATAGTTTTGTCTCCTTATTTTCTCCTGTTATAAGGGTTATTGGTTTTAAAATCTGTAGTCTGTTGGAGTAACATTGCTCTTTTGGGTATCATACAAAATAGTTTATCTGCTGGCTGTGGTGGTGCAGGCCTTTAATCCCAGCACTTGGGAGGCAGAGGCAGGCGGAGCTCTGTGATCTACAAGAGATAGTTCCAGGACAGCTTCCAAAGCCACAGAGAAACCCTGCCTTGAAAAACCCTGAAAAAGAAAAAAGAAAAAACAAAATAGTTTATGTGGACTCATGGGCCGTTGAGAGCCACTGTGCTGGGAACAGAACTCAGATCCTATATGTGAGCAGTATGCATTCTTAACTGCTGAACCAACTATCCAGGCTTCAAATTTTTATTTCTTACTTTGTGTGTGTGTGTGTGTGTGTGTGTGTGTGTGTGTGTGTGTGTGTGTGTTGTGTGTGTGACATACATGCAGTTGCACATGCAGGTGTGCATTCCTGTGTGCATGAACGAGGATGCCAAAGAAGTGTAGGTGTCTTCCTCTGCCTTACTGCCTTGAGCTAGTGTCTCTCACTGAGCCCCAAGCTTGCTGTTTTGACTGTCTGGCCATCAAGCTCTTCAGATCCGCCAGTGTCTACCCTTCATTGCTGGAGTTCTGGCACATGTGTCTGCTGGGCTTTTTACATAGGTGCTGAAGATTTGAACATGGGTCCTCATGCTTGAGAACAAGCTCTCTTAGCCATTAAGCCATCTTCTTGGCACTGCTGTGTCTGTCTCCCTCCCTCCCTCCCTTTTTTTAGATTTCTTGTTTTGCTTGTTTTTGGAGATAGGTTCTCACTATGTATCCTTGGCTGGCCTAGAACTCACTCTATAGACCAGGTTGGTCTTGAACTCAGAGATCCACCTGCCTCTGCCTCCTGAAAGCCGGGATTAAGGGTGTGGATTGCCATGCCTGGCACTGCTGGGGTTTTAAAACAAGAAATTCTGTGATAGTGTTTGTGTTTAAGAAAATGAAGTTGGCTGTCAAGATGGCTCAGAGGTTAAGAGCACTGGCTGCTCTGCCAGAGGACCTGGGTTCCATTCCCAGCAACCACATGGCAGCTCAGAACTGTCTGTAACTCCAGTTCTAGAGGATCCGACACCATCACAGACAGAGACATACAGGTAGGCAAAACACCTATATTGGTTAAAAAAACAAACCAAAAACAAACCAAAAACAACTCAACTAAAACCCAAATGAAAACAAAGGGCAGTGAAGTTGATAGCATAGACCACTTCTTTTTTCTCTTTTAAAAAAAGTTTATCATGCTAGGCAGTGGTGGTGTATATGTTTAATCCCAGCACATGGGAGGCAGAAGCAGGTGGATCTCTGAGTTTGAGGCCAGTCTGGTCTACAGAGTGAGTTCCAGAGAAGCCCCCCAAAACAAACAAACAAAAATCAACAAAACAAAACACAAACAACAACAAAAAACAAACAACATAGGACTATTTGACTATTTTATGTTGTATGTATGTGTGAGTGTGCATGTATGTGGTATGTGCATATGTGTGTGAAAGCTACAGGAAAATGTCAGCTATCCTGCTCTACCACTCTTTGTCTTATTCTTTCCTTTAGCAAGCACAAATGATATTCCTGTCTCTACCCCCACAACATGGAGTTGCTCTAGTCTGTGTGGCCATGACTGGCTTTCTGTGTGGGTGCTGGGGATTTGAACACAGATTCTCATGCTTAGGACACAAGCACTCTCAACCCACAGAGCCAATCCTCCAGCTTGTAGTCCAGTATCAGCTTCAGAATCAGAGTGCCTGGGATCAAATTCAGCTCACGGGCAGTCGCCATCCCAGTCAGTGTTCTGGTCCATGTGCGGAGCATGTGATGGCTCATTTAATCACAAAGTAGACCTACAAAGAAGTTAGCATCCTATTTTATAAACATGGACATGAAATTTCACAGGTAATTGACCAAGATTCTACCCAAACTGTGGAGAGACTCCCCTGAGCTCCTTTTGCAGCCACGACTTGTAAAGACTTGAATAAAATACTAATTATTTATTTAATTTATTCTTTGTATTTGTTTTTTTAAAAAACTTTTGATCTTATTTTGATTTGTCTGACTGTTTATCTATTGGTTTTTTTGAGACATGGTTTTTCTGTGTAGCTTTGGAGCCTGTCTTGGCACTCACTCAGTAGACCAGGCTGGCCTGGAACTGACAGAGATCCACCTGCCTCTGCCTCCCAAGTGCTGGGATTAAAGGCATGCACCACCATCACCCAGCTAGATTTATTTTATTATTATTATTATTTTGTTTATATGGGTGTTTTGCACCACATGCATGGCTGATGCCCAAGGAGGTGGTAAGCTTCCATTTGGGAATCAAACCTGGGCCCTTTGTAAGAACAAGTGCTCTTAACCACTGAGCCAGCTCTCCATCCCTGTATTCGTGTTTTATTTTTTTTTAAAGCATGTATTTGTGCATGCTAGACAAGTGTTTTAACATGGAGCACCATCCAGCCTTCTGTCCAGATACTTTTTAATTTATTTTAGTGTTCTACCTGCATGTACCCTCGAATGCCAGAAGAGGGCACCAGATCTCATTATAGATGGTTGTGACCCATCATGTGGTTGCTGGGAATTGAACTCAGAGCCTCTGGACCAGTACTCTTACCTCTGAGCCATCTCTCCGTGTTTTAAATTGGCATACAAGTAGTGTGTTTCTCATGACAATCTCATACACACTTTCTTTCCATTGTGCCTTTCCTCCCACTATACTCTGTCATCCTACCCCTTGGTCTTTCCTGTCCTTTGGGTCCCCTTCTTCATGGCGCCAATTCTGCTTTCATGTCATCCCCCACCGTTTTCTTATTTTTAATGTGTGTGTGTGTGTGTGTGTGTGTGTGTGTGTGTGTGTGTGTGTCTGAGTGCAGGTGCCTGTGAAGGCCAGTGGTGGCGGATCTCCTTGGAACTGGAGTTTCAGGTGGTTGTTGTGTGCCTGATGTGGGTGCTGCCAACCAAACTGGTGTTCTCTATTTTGGCACTCTGGTCCTCTGCAAGTGCAGCAAAGTGCTTCTAACCACTGAACTGTCTCTCCAGCTGCCGTGTCACGTGTATTCTATCTCCTCCCCATTCAGATTCCTCTTTTCTTGCAGATCCTTTTCTAGTATTGATACCTGCATCCATACCACCCCCACGCATGCATGTGGCATAAAATCCAGACTCTGCATGAGAAGAGAGAATGGTGTCTGCTGTTCACTAGTCTCCTTGAAAGTCCTGCTGAGACAACTCACGACTGCAGCGAGAATCTACTGCTCATCTGTCTGCCCTAAGGCTCCCTGGCTGCCAGCCTCTTGCAGGGGAAGGACCTAATTTGATAAGTGTCAGTTAATCGTGGGCCAGCTTCCTTCCTGCTGTTCATACTCCCCGACTACCGAGAAATCCATTTGTGTATTCCCTCATCCTTCCTACAAGACTCCCTCGCTGCTGGGCAACTGAAGTTCAAAATGTTTGAGTCATGCTGCAATAGCATATTACTTACTAGAAATATATCCTTGCTACTTTAACTAGTGTACTGTATGTTTAATACAAGAAAACCCCACAGGGGCTGGGGATGTAGGTCAGACATGTCAGCATACTCAGTGGATGTGAAGGCCTGGGTTCACATCAACTGCAAAACACTGAAACAAGTCCATAGCATTTGAAACAGTTAAGGCTTCAGATCCTGCCTTTGCCACTTATTACTGTACTAATGGGAAGCAGGGCTGGTTAAGAGCATGTGTGTACTGCTCTTGTGCAAGACCAGAGCTTGGGTCTTAGCAGCATGCCAGATGGCTCTCCAACTCCAACTCCAGGGCATCCAACTCTCTCTGGCCTCCACAGTGTAGGCATGCAGATGTGCGTAAACCCACATTCACACATAAATAAAAAGAAATCTTAAAAAATTAGAGAGTTTTAGCAATAGGGGAAAAGATGATGGTACTAGTTAGACAAGGAATGCTGAGCTAGTGGGCTAAGAATGGAAAGGAAGTCCATGAGGTAGGTGTTCAGGATGCAAAATCGGGTTGGCAAGATGACTTAGCTGTTTAAGGCTGGGCTCACAACCAGAAATATAGGAGATAAAACCAGTGTATCTGATGGCAGACTCGGTGTGTTGGCAGAAGAAATCATCTGAGGTGGCTTCCCAGGTTTCTACCTTGGATAGACAAGACAGTATGTGCTCATAGCTGCTAATATGGTACGTGACAACAGTGGTCACTGGAGATTTTGATGTCTGCATTCTCTTGAAACTCCAATAACTATTGTAATCATCTGCTTGCCTCCTTTGGCTTGTGGGTCTTTTGAAGGTATTCTCATCTCTGATGTCATAGTTCCTGAGTGACTATATGACAGAAGTTCTCAACAAATTTATGTGAAACCAATGAAAAACATCTCTCTTGTCACATGCTGGAGTTTGGCAATTTGACACAAACCTAGATTATGATTGGGAAAATGCCTCCATAAGATTGTCCTGTAAGCAAGTTTTTGGGGACATTTTCTTGATTAATGATTGATGTGAGAGGGCCCAGCTCACGGGGGGGGGGGGGTGGGGGGTGGGGGTGGCACCACCCCAGGAAAAAAGGCCCTGGATAACAAAAGAAAGCAGACTGAACAAGTTAGGGGAGCAAGCCAGTGAGCAGAGCTCCTCCATGGCATCTGTCTCAGTTCCTGCCTCCAGGTTCCTGTCCTGAGTTTCTACCCTGACTTCCCTCAGTGATGGAGTTCACCTGAGAATCATAAACTGAAATAAACCCTGTCCTCTGCACATTGATTTTGGTTATTGTGTTCACCACAGCTATAGAAAACTAAGACCATGGCTAATCATTTCATCTTAATTATTATATGTGGATTCACTTGGAAGAGGAAGTGGAAGATTGCCAAAGTATGGGCTATGTTTGTCCCCCGTTGCCCCCAGCTTTCTCTTTCTGTTCAGGGAGTTGATACTGATGCAACTGTGTGAGTCACTGTCCCACAG